GACATGGAAGTGCCTTGCTTGTTGGTTTGTCCTGTGTAGAATGATCCCCTTACTTTGGGTCGAAATCTGCTAAGTCCTGCTGCCCTCACTTGTTGCTGGACTTAGCGTGATTTTTGGATGTCGTCTATGCAGTGCGTACCCTGACTTTTGGAGATTTTGCTGCCCTCACTTGTTGTTGGACTTAGGCGTATTTTGCGAGTGCCGTCGATTCGAGACGTACCCTGACTTTTCGAAAAAAATTTCTTGAAAAAAAAAAAGTCCAGCTGCCCTCACATTTTGCTGGACTTAGTCGATTTTTGCGTGCCGTCGGTCGGCTCGGACCCTCACTTGTGTAGCGAATACTTGCAAGTCCAAGTCCCCTCACTTGTTCTTTGGACTTGGAAAATTTTTGGAGGTGCCAAGGCTTTAGCACGTTCCCTCACTTGTTGTCAGTGATTTAGTAGAACTGTGAAGTAAGACGTCCCCTTACTTTGTTTTCGGTCTTTGAAAAAATTTTTGTTCGCTACCGAATGTGCCGGAAAAAAACTGATAAACACTCTTACGGAATGCGAACAAAAAAGGTTTGTTTGGTTCGGAAGCCTATCGACTGTATTGTTCAGCGTACGGACGAGAACTGGACGAGAACTGGCATTTATCAACGCGATGTGGCCGTTGCCTGTAAGAATTGTGAGTTTTCTCGCGCACAAGATACTTGTGTATTCCGTTCCAGGGCTCCAGGTTAGGAAATACATTTTAGCAGAAGAACGTCAACAACTTCTCAGTTTATACTGCCCAACTTAATGTTGAACGGGGAAGACGTGGTGACTCTCATCGTGGTTGAATAGAATGTCACACCTTGAACAAAGCTTCATGTGAGGACACCCATATGCGCATCACCAGAGACAAAGCAGAAACAGTAGATACTGCAAACGATCTCCAGGAGGACGAGAAAAGTATCCAACAGAAACCAGCTGCTGATAATGAGGAGCAGTCCTAAAGTAATGAAAAAAAAAAAATTGACAACAGCACGTGGTGTTCCCAAGTGGTCACCCATCCAAGTACTAACCACGCTCGACGCTGCTTGGCTTCAGTGATCGGACGAGAACTCAACTCAACTCAAATCTCTTTATTTCCAAAATTTATCAGTTTCACATACATATGGGGGTGGGGGAGTGAGGCTCCCCTCAAACAATACATATATAAACAAGGACTAAAACTAAGGACAAGGCTTAAAACTAAAACACTCAGTGTGCGCAGCACACTGCGCGCCACATGCGCGCCTGGCGAGCTATGTGGCGCTTTTTCCAGCTTGGCCGATGTTCTGGCCCACAAACCACTGTCCTTTTCCCATTGGGTCTCTTCTAAACGTTCCCTGGTTGCCCTTTAACGTTCTTGGGTGACCTTACGGTCGTTGGTGACTACCACGAATGGCGCGCATTGGGCCACTATACTGGCCTGCTCAAAAAATAGGGGGGAGATGCTTGATATGGGGGTGCCGAGCGCGCAGCGCCCTCTTCGTGGGGAAAAGTTCCAAAAAACCCCACTTCCGATTAACTTAATAAATATAAAAAACAAAATAAAAGTCGTGCCCCTTGGGGCGTTATGGTCCATGGACGCTACCTCAACAACAAAGTGTGAGCTCAAGGGTATGTGCGCGTGAGCGAGGGTTTGGATTAAATGGGTTCGAAAGCCCTGCACCCCGACCGATCCTGAGACTTGATGAGCCTCTAGGTAATGGTTTGGGTGCAGGTGAAGGAAGTTTGTGAGGGATGTCATAGAATGAGGGTTGGGAGGATTGGGTGCAAGAATCTACCGGGATTGGGACATGCATTTGCAGCTAAATTGGGCAGTTTTTGCCTAATCTGACCACTACGGTCAGATTGGGGTTGTCCGATGATTGATTAGACAATTGCATTTCCTCATAGCCAGCGATAAAGGAGATGTTTACACGACGAGAACTGGCATTTCACAACGTGATGTGGCCGTTGCCTGTAAGAATTGTGAGTTTTCTCGAATACAAGATACTTGTGTTTTCCGTTCCAGGGCTCAAGGTCAGGGAATACATTTTAGCAGAAGAACATCAACAACTTCTCGGTTTATATTGCCCAACTTAATGTTGAACGGAGAAGACGTGGTGACTCTCATCGTGGTTGAACAGAATGTCACACCTTGATCAAAGCTTCATGTGAAGACACCCATATGCGCATCACCAGAGGCAGAGACCAAGAAGAAACAGTAGATACTGCAAACGATCTCCATGAGGAAGTGAAAAAGATCCAACAGAAACTAGCTGCTGATAATGAAAAGCAGTTCCAAAGTATTGAAAAAAAAATTGACAACAGCACGTGGTGTTCCCAAGCGGTCAAGTACTAACCACGCTCGACGCTGCTTGGCTTCAGTGATCGGACGAGAACTGGCATTTCACAACGTGATGTGGCCGTTGCCTGTAAGAATCGTGAGTTTTCTCGAGCACAAGATTCTTGTATTTTCCGTTTTTGACCAATTTTTGAAATATAAAGATGAAAATTGTTGCCACAAAGTCTCAGACTTGTAGATTATTTTATCTACAATTTAGAGAACCGAGCGACGGTGGATAGAATAAAGTGGGACTGGGGATATAATTATGGAAGTTTGGCAAAAATAACAATGGTTGACCCTGTTGACAGTCGCAGGCAGTGCTGCCACTTCTGACAAAATGAAGTCGGTAGATTCCTGAAGAAATAATCGATAGTTTTCGTTTAAAAATCGGTAGCTAGGCGGTTGCGTCATATAAAACTAGTCAATAAATTTAGTCATAATTTAATTATGCAATGAGATTCCTATTTCAATTTTTCGCGAGCATAATCAAACACTGATTATGCTCAGATGTTATGTGTCAGTTGTGTCATAGTGTCATACTCCCCTACCATCCAATTCCTGGCCTACGAGTGACGTCACTACCAGCAGCTAATAGTGATGACGTCAGCTGCAGACCGCGATGGAATGCAGATTCAGGCTGTGCTAGTTAGTGAGTTAATTTTTTCGTCGATTTTAAATGTAGAAAAGGTGATTTTCGGTTTGTTCTCACAGAAGAAGTTAAGTGTTCTTGATCCTCGAGTATCCGAGAATTTGATAGTGGGGGAGTTAGGGGAGTACATGGAGGGGGAGTATGACACAATTGACACATAACATCTGAGCATAATCGAGTATGCTTGGTTATCCTTGCGAAAAATTGCCTATAATTTGTAGCGACATTCAATTTCAATAGCGTTTTCATAAGTGATCATCAGTGACGTGACATACGAGACACGATGTCAGATGTCATTAGTTTTTAGATTTTCTTGCGGAATGAGAAACAATTTTTTTTTTTTATTTTAAATAAAATATATACATATCTACATATTTGTTGCATTACCGACAAATTGCAAAAAAATCGTGAGAAAATGGTTTAAAATCGGGAGATCGGTAGACTCATTTGAAAATCGGTAGATCTACCGATAAATCGGTAGAGGTGGCAATGCTGGTCGCAGGAGATAATTAGGTGCTAGCTGACGTCACACACATAACCTCAATGACATGTTTGTCCCCCTATCGAAAGTCACGTTATGTCATTGGTGCAGGCTAGCGCCTGGTGTGTTAAATAGACCTTGCAAACGCTTTGTTTGTCCCCCCAACGGAAGTAAGGTTATGTATGTGACGTCAGCTAGTGCCTAGTGAGTAGTAATAACACCAGATTTAAGTGCGGGAGAGAGACTTTGCGCACGTGTTGGGAACAAAATTTTTCGTACGAGCTTCATATCACATAACAAAAATAAAAAAATTATAAGATTATTCGGTGTTTTTTTTATGGGTAGATGGTTTTCTGACATAGAAACGAAGGAAAAATCTGTCATCATGGATCATGGGACAACGTCGACAGGTGCATTTATTGTTGCTTGATAGGTACATAATTATGTCGTTTGCGATTGGTAGTTTCAATGCGCACTGAGTGTATTTCCATTCTAATCGACCTGTAGAAGAAAAAGACAGAAAATTTAAAAAAATGCACTATTTTCGCACTAGATCTACCAATCGGAAACGCCATTAGTTTTACTTTTTGGCACTCAGTGCGGATGAAAATCTTATCCGCACGGTGCGGAAAAGTGTAACTTTGCACACGGAAATGCGTGCGGTAAAGTACTACTTTTTGTCTTTTCAGAAAGTTGTTAGGTATAAAATTAGGCAGCTATTTTTCAACGGAAGAAAACGTCAAATAATTATTGTTCTGCTACTATAATTTGGAGGCTATTGAATGGGTTTTACTCCAAATTATTGAATAGATTACACTAATTATTGTGTTTTTTTTTTAAGATAAAAGTCAAAATGACATTATGTTGGCAATACAATGTGAAATTGTCAATGCTTTCAAATTTTTTGTGTAGAAAAGGCTTGTGTTGCCAACATAGTTACTAAATTTTTGACTTGGGGAATTATCTTTAAAAAAAAAAACAGACTTTAGTTCCATCTATTATACAGGGTTGTCGTTATGTATGGAAACGGTCGACTATTTCAGAACAAACGCGCGCAAGAAAAATCTACAATATTTCCTACCGGGGTTTTTGGGAATGCCCGATTCAATGGTGGTATTTGCAATGTTGCCGTTTTCAAGATGCGGTATGCTACTTAATTTGTTCAAATGTCACGGCCTTGAAATTTTACTCGGAGCGCGAAGTTTCACTCAAAAATTAGATACGCTTGTTTGAGCCTATGCAACCAACATTACACAAACCAATGGCAAAAAATGTAAACAAACTTTTTGAAAATGAATTTACCTCTGAAATTCAAAGCAAATAGCCAGGAAAATGATAGGTATCTATTCCTATCCAAAACGCTTTCTTTAAATGAAGAGTGGTACCAACATACGTACTTATGATAATATAAGTAATAAAACTGAAAATGAAATGAAATAACATCTTATGAATGAATTGAAATAAAATTGATTCTTACTTGGAAAATACTTATGATTATATTGCTTTGAAGATAAAGATTGCTTTATTGCTTACCATTGGGGCTTCGTACTCCAGAAGCTCTGGACCGTTTCCCACTAAAATTATTCCGTCTCAATTTTGCCGGATCAATAACGCGTTTTTTTCGACGTAGATATCTGGCCAAACCACCGACAACTAATATACTGGCCCCAACAGACACCAAGACCATCTGGAATAGCAATAATCACAAATAAAACCAAACTTTTGTAAGGGTTTAAAAAATGCAAATATTTACCTTTTGAGTGGTTGACAGTGATATTTTCAAGGGAACTAATTGCCGTAGATGCTTCAAGTATTCACCGACGGGGCCTAAATGTGGTAGTAAAGACATTTTTCAATGTTTTTTCGAGATTCTCTTAGATTTATAGGTTATAAACACAAAATCACCGTTTTACGCAAACACGCACCGTTATATGCAATTTGTATGAAACGTTTCGATTTAAGAACACTTTAAGAGTTGAGAACCGGCACTAAACAGTTTCAAAATAGTATAAATAGTCCATAAATCGAAATATACGAAAATTAGTTTCTGACGCAAACTCAAACCTCCCGGTCTTAGTACGGATGACAACGATAAACTAGGAAACTTCTTAGCCAACTGAACTGAAATTTAGGGAGGCAAATCTAGGAACTCCTAAATCTGCGCAAGAGCTGCAAGTGGATTGGACAATTAATTGGCTTCGTTCGCGAACAGCGCGAACACACTCCGAGCCAATTTGGAATGGAACTAGTTCAGGATCGTTACGTCGTAGAACGCATTCACCGTGCGTTCAGTATTTTGATCTGAGTTCACAGTGCATGAATTTACCGGTCGTTTATTTGAAAAGTGTACTCGGTGCAGGCTCATTCACGTTCGTTTATTAAAATTTCGAGCCCTCTGCTACAGCTGCTCTGTGCGCCCGCTGGTCACGTGATTGGATTGCTGGTCCGCTCTGCACGCTCAACAGGATTGAACAAGGTTTATACCGGTTCTCATTTGAGGACAGGGGGAAAGCTACAAACAAAGGAAAGGCTAACAAGAAGTGAAAACCTGAGAAATATTTTTTTTTTTTAAGACAAAACCTTAGAACAGGTAAAGGTAGAGGAGTAAGGAGTACTAACATGGAGTTGAAAAATGAAGCCTTTTTTTAGCTGGGTTCAGCTATTCAGCACGGAGTTGGAGTGGAGTAAGAACAGATTTTTTTCACTAATCTAGGACTTCAAGGAGTGATTAGAGTGAAAAATTAAAACACTAAGGGCGGGTATTATAAAACTACTTTGAGAGTTAACTTAAAGTTAACTTCTGGAATTAACTGTCAAAGCAGTTTTATAATACCCGCCCTAAATACACAAAATTAATACACGAACGACCGGAACGGTCGGAGCAGAAATGTAAAACAGCTGATTTGTTTTGTTACAAAACAACAGTCAACCCGCGACTTTACCGTGCCAGTTTCCAAATTCTTTTTCACTTTTGTATACTATAAATTAACTTCAATTACTCCACAGTAATGAATATAGCCGCTTTCCAGCTGTGTGCTTCAAGCACGGTGCAGCACAGTGTTCTGTGTTCGAAACGCAAAAGTTAGCAGCTCTCGAAGCGCAGTACGGCTGGAACACGAACACGCGCTTGAAGCATTTGCGCGCGCAGAAGCTCGATTGCGTGCTCAAAGCGTCAGCTGGAAAGCGGCTTATGATGCTTTTGCCTCTGTTTAACTTTGTCGAGGAAAATTTTCCTTCATGTTTAATAAATTTAAAATTCAGATCAATTATTTTACTCGATGATTTTACCAATTCCCGCATCCAAACATCTTTTTTTTTTTTTTTAAGATAAAAGTCAAAATGACATTATGTTGGCAATACATTGTAAAATTGTCAACGGTTTCAATTTTTGTATGTAGAAAAGGCTTGTGTTGCCAACATAGTTACTAAATTTTTGACATGGGGAATAGACCTATCTATTTTGCCAGACAAAAAGGTAGGTAATTACGGTAATTATACGAAAACTTCATGATATAAAAAAAAGACACAGAACGCTCATTGCGCAAGACGAGGCAAAACGTACCAATTTATGATAGACTTACGTAAGCAATCCGTCCTTTTTACTTGCACAGAATAAAAAGGAAAGGAGAAAAACCGCGTGTTGTGCAACGTATTTGTCAACGAAAATGTCAAACAACTTTTGAATGACACTTGTCAAGTTGAATATCAACTTTAGATTTATTCTTGTCAGACCACGTGCAATGAACAAGGATAAAGAGATTCCCAGCATGCAAAACGATCACCTCACACCTGTATTAGCTAGCCAATAAAAAGACATTGCCTCGTGTTGCGCGCGCATACCAGGTAAAAATAGATAGGTCTATTATCTTGAAAAAAAAAACAGACTTTAAACGATTTTTATTTTTTTTAACAACCACAACATGACAACACAACAAACTTGAGAGTTTACACATTTCACTTCTGCGCATGCTTACTTCTAACAAATTCTCTTTCCGAGGTGGAACTTTTGGAGTGAGCTCCATTAACTCCACTCCGTATAGTCGAACACTAATGGAGTCACCTCTAATTAGCCAAAAAGAAGTACCCGAACGGCTGGAGTGCGAATGGAGTCACTCGGAGTGCATGGAGTGAGCATGCCGAACCCACCTTGTCCTGGGGTATGGATTCTAAAATCACGATTCGACACACGACTCGACAACGATACCGGCCCTGTCGTCTCGAAAGGTATGATTTTAATGAGATTCTAACCTAGAATCGTCGGAAAAATCGTCTCGTTGACTCGTTATCGAATCGTGTGTCGAATCGTGATTTTAGAATCCCCGACCAGGTATTTTGACACCAAAAAAATGGCGGTATAGGCAATGCAACTTAGAGCAGGTAAAGGTAAAGAGGAGTAGTAACCTGGGGGGGTTTATTTGAAATATGCAATTCGAATTCGTCTGACTAGTCGCATTTTTTAGCATTTTAATACCGGCAAAAACTGCGACTTAGACGTATTTGAATTGCACATTTCAAATAAACCCCCCCTGGAGTTGGAAAATGAAGCCGTTTTTTTTCCAGGTATTTTTGCACCAAAAAACTTGGCTACACTTTAGTTTCATGAATGCTTTACTTGTCACAAGCCTTTTCTACGTACAAAAATTTTGAAAGCAACAATTTTACTATAGGGCAAGTACACGATCTGACAGTTTGACACTATTGACAATCGCCTTAAGGTAAAACCAATGAACTATAGCTAAAAACTGGAATGCGCACACAATAGTTGTATTTCTTTCACACCTAGGAGGAGCTCCGGAACAGCTCCGGGGCTTCACGCACTTATTCCTTTCGAAAAGTGTTTGCTTCACCACGCATTTGTTCCCTGCAAATCGGGGGCGACTAAACACCGGAGCGAGTTTCTCAAGTGCTTGAAACTCTTGAAAGGAATACAGCTATTGCCATATCTGCCAAAAAAATTTACCATGAAAGATAGATGCCACAAAGGGGAATGTTGTTTTTTTCTGTTGCTTGCTGACATATGACATTTTCGAAAGTTTTGTCATATTTCGCTTCACAGGTTTCATCAATTGGAATACGTGTCGGAAGCAATTTTCGCCATTTAACATATTGAGTGCGACAAAAACAGGTATCCCCTCCGCAGCAGCCGCACTAGGCTTCAAGTTCGTCCTTTTGTGTTAGCATTCCAGTTTTTGGTTATAATTCATTGGTTAAACCTTTGAATATAAAACTACAGGAAGGAGCATAACCTCGAATCTGCGCGACCAGAAAATGTGGAGGTTGCATATGGCTGACTAGTGTTTCTGGTTTGGCAGTGGCTTATATTTATTTAAATATGATTGTCAATATTGTGACTCACTCTTTTCGCACTAATTCCAGTGCTTATTATCACTTAAGTTAAAACTGCTAAAATCCATCAAACCTGCACTTGAATGAGGACACAGCGACCACCAAAACAAATGATGAGTCCATACTTGGAGGCTCAAAATGGCCGTCTCCGTCCCTTTTTGTCTGTAGTGACAGATAGGAAACGCTCCTTCCTGTAGTTTTATATTCAAAGGGTAAAACCCAATGAACTATAGCTAAAAAACTGGAATGCGCACACATTGCCATATCTGCCAAAAAAATGAAGCCATGAAAGACAGATGCCACAAGGGGGAATGTTATTTTTTTCTGTTGCTCGCTGACATATGACGTTTTCGAAAGTTTTGTCATATTTCCCTTCACAGGTTTCATCAATTGGAATACGTGTTGGAAGCAATTTTCGCCATTTAACATAATGAGTGCGACAAAAACAGGTATCCCCTCCGCAGCAGCCGCACTAGGCTTCAAGTTCGTCTTTATGTGTTAGCATTCCAGTTTTTGAAACCAATGAACTATAGCTAAAAACTGGAATGCGCACACATTGCCATATCTGCCAAAAAAATGAAGCCATGAAAGACAGATGCCACAAGGGGGAATGTTGTTTTTTTCTGTTGCTCGCTGACATATGACGTTTTCGAAAGTTTTGTCATATTTCCCTTCACAGGTTTCATCAATTGGAATACGTGTTGGAAGCAATTTTCGCCATTTAACATAATGAGTGCGACAAAAACAGGTATCCCCTCCGACTGGCGGCTAAACATAGGACTGCGATCCAACGTTGCCAAATTGATTTCGATGCTAGGCGCATGCCCGCCCACCCCATTGAGACAAGTTTGGCTGTCTCTGTCAGGGCGGGTATTATAAAAACTACTTTGAGAGTTAACTTGAAGTTAACTTCTGGAATTACATGTATTTCGAAAAGTTAACTTCAAGTTAGAGAACTTTGACCTTTTATTTTTAGTTTTAAATACTTTCGCTTCTTTCTTTAGAATAACTATAAGTACCTAAATATAAATTCACAATGAAAAAATATACCATATAGCTATCTCGACAACTTTAACCAGACACCCTAGGTCCTTGTCCCAAGTTTCGCTTGACTGACCGAGGTATGATTATGTACGTAAATACTGTAATCAACTGACCAAAAACTGGCTTTAGTAAATTCAGAGAATTTTTTCGGCGCTGGCTCTCCGGCTATTATTACCATTACTTATTTTCTATTTTTTATTCCGGCCTGTCAAAATGACATTATTATGGATCTCATTTGTAGTGTCAAAATGACATAATTTATTGGATTGAGTACTTTAATGCGATTTCATTAGAGTACTAAGTAGTATAATGAGATCTCATCTCATTATAAGTACCTACTATAATAATGAGAAAAAAATATAAGTAGGTTTAGTAGGCAAAAATATGAAAAATTTATTGAAGACAACATTTAACCATTAAAATAGGTATTTTACAATTTCTGGAATATAAAATATTGTATGAAATTTGGATCATAAACAATCATTATGGCACACGCCGTGTTATCATCAGACTCGGCTGACGCCTCGTCTGATAATATTCACGGCTAATACCATAATGATCGTGATTATGATCCTTATAACATAAATATCTATAATAGGATTAATTTATTACCTACTAATCATGCGAGAATTTATTTGTTGTATAACAGAAATTAACCTTTCATTATTATTGTAACATTATCCGCAATAAAAATCTATTTTAAATTTGGCGCTTTATGAAAGGAGGATTTGGCAACATTGGATCGCGATCCTATGTCTAGCCGCCAGTTCCCCTCCGCAGCAGCCGCACTAGGCCTCACGTTCGCCATATGTGTTCGCATTCCAGTTTTTGGTTATAGTTCATTGGGTAAAACCAATGAACTTTTTTGACTGGTTTGTGATTTCTGCTGAAACAGACCTATCAGCTGATTTTGACTCACAAATTAGTCACAAAAGGCGTATTTTAGCGAGAGTTTTAACCCAGTAGTATGTTGTATTTACTTGGGATACTACATTTTAGCGAGCATGGCTAACATACTATGACGTCACAACATAAAACACGACATAAAACTCGGCTGTAAACATGTAAACATCCTAGGAGGGATAGTTACTGGTTGTAGTATGTCAGTGCATCTTTTTCTAATACACAAAAATGAGCATATGGGCAAAACATCAGCTGATTACGCTACGATTACCAACACAGTTCTTTCCACTATAAATAGAGGATTGTTTTTTCCTCATTTTGCCATGGTTTTCTGTGATTTTATTTTAGAGTTTTTTTGCAAAAAAAATTAAAAATCTTTACTTGTGCACAAAAGTGTAATTTTATTTTTTTTTTGGCATTGGGTACCCATAAAATTCAAAAATACCACAATCTATCGAAAATCTTCACTGGAGAAAATATTGAAACTCGAAAACGCTAAATTTTACAAAATTCAACAAATCCAAATAAACAACGATCATGGCGTCCTCTCTTAGACCCTTTGTCAAATACACTCCACCTGTTATTTGGGTAACTATGACGTCATGAATCGTAGTATGTGTAGTATGATGTTTACCTGTCGCTAAAATACGCCTAATACCTCTGCATGTGCAACTCTTATGGCGCAATTTGTTCCGCTAAAAGCTTGCGACTACAGACGGCAGAGGCGCTGTCGCCCAATGCTGTTGTCAGATTTATACATAAAAAGTCCAGATTATTCTTTATTTGTTTTGAAAAGCTTCCAAAAATAGGAAAAATTGACAAATTTTGACATTTTCCATTTTTACTCAATAATTTGAATCAGAGATTGGAAATTTTCTCCGTTCAAAGCAAAATGGTTTTATCATTGTTGTGTGGCAATGTGTGAAATCCGAGAGAACAGAGTAGAAATTCATCGAATTCCCAAAAATGATGAACAGGTAAATATGTTTCAATCCCTACATTATACCGAAAACGGGATTTTACCTCCTGTAATTTTACCACTGTAACTTTCTTTCTTTTTAGGTGTTCATTTTATGCCTGCAAAACGTTTACAATCAAAAAATCTTATTCATTGTAGGTAGCTATTATTGATTGGATTGATATCATACTGTAGTTAATAAAGTAATTCAAAATTGTTATTTTTGTATTTAATACATGGATTTATTAGTATGCAACTCTTCGGTATGTGATCAAGAGACTGTTTATCATAATTTTATTTCCACTAGAAACATATTAAATTGTTCAGTGCTAGTGGCAATTAAAAAATGATAAACGGATCCTAAAGAAAAAAAAAATTTAAAAAGGAGCGCTTCCCGCGCTCTCAAGCTGCTGACTACACACGCGAGAGGGCGCTGTAATCAGGAACAAAATGTATGTATTGAGTTGCCGGTTTCTCAATAGTTGTATTTCTTTCACACCTAGGAGAAGCTCCGGTAGGAGTAGCTCTAGTGTTTCAAGCTCTTGAAAGGAATACAACTATTGAGTGGTGGTGCGCAGGGTTGGGAATGTAGCGACTTTTTTATATTATTTACATTAACTACATAAACTACATTTACTACGTTCAAGGTAGAAATAATGAGGAGATAGTTGAATAAAAACGTTTATAATAAGATTCTTCTTGTTTTATTTCCATTATCGATAAAGATATTATAGCCCTGTCGCACGGACTCGAAAATATAAAAAAAATGTAGTTAAAGGTTATGTAGTTAATGTAACTAACTTTGCTAAAAAACTGATGTAGTCATCCTCAATAACTACGGTAGTTAATCATGTAATTAATGTTACATTAACTACGTTCCCAACCCTGGTGGTGCGTCAGGGGGCAGGAAGGAGGTTGGTTGCGCTCCAAGCCCATTGGTAGATGGAACACAATTTTCACGCGCTTGGGTATGCAAATGCACGATTGCGTGCATAGAACGGCCAGCTGAAAAGTGGCTCTATATTCCATTCCTTTTGTACTCGAACGCTTGAAACTGAACGGGTCAAACTGTAGTCGAAGTGGTGGCACCCGAAAGCAGCTCTGATTACCATCATTTGGAGGGTATGGTGGGGAAGTGATCGGAAATCGAAAGAACTTCAATCTAGAGCTGCATTCGATTGATTAGATTAGATCGATCTGGTTCAATTTAAGTGAACCTGACTGTGTTCGATTGTAGTTGGAGCAGTTTACCCCCATCAACAAAAAATGATCCAGATTCAATCTAGACACAGCCTCCTTCTAGATCATAAAAAGTGAACTAAAAATATTGCTGGTGCGTGTATTGCTGGGTTGCATATATTGAAATTCGGCAGACTAGCATAATGCACTGCGCCCGTTCCAGAGTGTTTGTTTAGTTCAATGGTTCTTTTCCTGCTCTAAGGTTTTCTCACCGTGCGTTCGTTATTTTGGTCTGAGTTCTCCGAGCTTGACTTTACCGTTCGTTTATTCAAAAAGTGTACTCGGTGTATCCTCATTCGCGTTCGTTTATTAAAATTTCTGGCACTTTTATACAGCGTTCAACTGCTCTGTTCGCTCGCTGGTCACGTGATTACGGCTCCGCTCTGCACGCTCTGCTCTTCGAGCAAAATACCGAACGCAAGGTCAGTCAGAACGAAAGAACGAGTACCAACATGAAATTTGAGGTGAAGGAAAGTAGACAGATGTCATTATTGTCATTTATCATTTAACATATGGTTCATAAAAATGTTTGTATAAATTTCATGTATTTTGCTTTGCACTTGCAGCATCTTCACATTCTTCACTCTCACTCCACTGAGAAAGCCGATTGTTTGTTGAGTGTAGACTGTAGAGTAAATGTAAACAAAACAAGTAGTATTTAGGATGGAAGCGGAGTGTTCCAACGCCGATGATGGACAATTGTCTACAGAAGATTTACCAGAAGAAGTGTTAGAACTTATTTCAAGTGAACAAGTGTTTAGGATGGAAGCGGAATGTTCCAACTCCAGTGGACAATTGTCCATTGGAGATTTACCAGAGGAAGTGTTGGAATTTATTTTATCTTTGCTTCCTCCCTATGGGGATTTAAATAATTGTATGCGAGTTTGCAGGAAGTGGAGAAGATGTGTGTTAAGTAAGTTGATTCTTTGTATTTTAGATTATCATGCTATAATTTTTATTGTTATATTTATATTGATCAATATTGCCTAGGGAGTGACTCCTTTTTCCAATAGTAGAGATAAGTGGATTTTGTTTTGATGTCAGTTATTTGCATTTGCTGTTACCCCCTATCATCAAACTTTTAAGGTTTTTCTTGCTCAATGTGGATACAAATAAATGAAAGAATCCTCGAAAGAAACCCTTACAGCAATAACCCTTCCTGTAGTAAATCCTCTCTACCTTCCTACCACTGCTAAATAAGATATGGTGCTCTATATGCACTATAATAGTACTTAGAATACTGTGTGTGCACCTGGTTTCCTTGATAACTTAAACTTACTTAGTTCAGGTTATGTACCTTTACTTTACTACAAATCAACAGCTATAAATCATTACAATAAAAGAAATAAAAATAAGATTATAATAACCATAACAACAACAGTACAAGTACAGTAATACTGATATCACTTTCAACATTTAATAGGCATTCTACCCCAAGTTCTACTCAGAAAATAAAGCTTTATATCGTTACCTATTCCCAATATGTATGCGCAAAATGTATGTAAGAATGTTAATTTTATACTGAGTTTTATATCCATTTATTTATTTTCCCCTTAGCGCTTTGGTACTTTTTTTCCTTAATACTACTACTAGGCAAATCATTATATACCTTCGGGCCAACACAGTAGGTATGTATGGTTCTGACAGGTTGCATGTTTTGGGTTCTGCAGCTCAACTTTTCCTTGGGCAGAATTTTTAGTATTTAAACCATGCTTTGTGTTCTCTTTGAAGTAAGAATTCTTTAACATGAACCTTTCCACAAATTTCATATACATTTGGTCTATGGTTAGTAAGCTAAACTTTGTTTCATGAGGGTTCATACTTTTGACAAAATTTGCCTTCCTTTTTTAACAAAAAGAAATTGACTGAAACAAATCAATGACGTCAAAAACGTTCGTCGGTTCTTAAGCCAGAAGTCATTCATTTTAATTTGTCAAATAGTTATTTATGCACTTCAGGGATTAAAAGTACCCTTTTAATCCCTGTTTTAAGGGAGTAAAGTGGGTCTTTTAATCCCCAGGATTAAATTTCACTTTATTTCCCGGGGATTAAATTTTTACTTTATTTCCTCTGGATTAAATGTTTACTTTATTTCCCGGGGATTTAAAGTAGTCTTTTATTCCCTGTTTTATTTAATCCCCGGGAAATAAAGTAAAGTGCATAAAATAGTGTATACACCTCAGGACTAAAGTGTTTTTTAATCCCTCAACAAATTATAGCCCTCCTTTCGGTCGGGCTATAAACTTTTTGTCTCGGGATTTAAACTATCACTTTAGTCCCTATGTATACAGGGTGTATATTTTAAGTGATACCACTATTGCTATATCCGAAGCGGTAAGAGCTACAAGGTCAATTAAATTAGAAAAAAGTTGCCTTTTTTAATGCTTATTCAAGACTTGTTTACAGTATTGCCAAATTCGCTTTAGTTTGTGAAATACAGGGTGATTTCTGAAAAACGCCAAAAAAAATTTCATCAATTATTTCGAAAACTATTGATTTTCGAGATACAATTTAAATTTGAAAGTTTTATAATTTTTTTCGTTCTACAACATAACATCTTCAAATTTCAAATCCGACGTTTCGTGATCGAGCTACCATCATCAACTTCATTTTTTTGAATACGGACCTTAATTTTTTATTTTATTTTTAGAAAGAGCCCTTTATTCCCTTTTTAACGATATACTTCTTAGGTATGATTGGCCGACGTTTCTGCTCTAAAAAGTGATCATCAGTGATTTTTACCAATATTTTATCTTAATTTGGCTCTAGAATTCATTATTTGTAACAAAGACAGTCTAAAAAGCACTTTTTTCCTTTATTATTTAGGACAAAATTAACAAAATAATTTGTGTGAACACTCAAAATTATCTAATTATGAACAATAATTAAAATAATTACTTAGAAACTAGTAATTTTAATTGTAATTTCACAAATTCAGGTTGACAATGGCAACACTGATATGGAATATAAATAATAAATAAATTTTTTCTACAAATGTCACTAAAAGTGTCATTTTTAACGGATGTTGTCAGTGTCTAAAATGCCATTTTTTGACACTGGTGTTAAAAGTGATTACTTTTAGCACTAGTGCTAAAAGTAATCACTTTTAGTGCGTTTTTAGAAAAAATAGTGTATGATATTCGTGCTAAAAGTTATTTTATTTTGTTCAAAGGGATGGAACCCAAACTTTCCTTTTCACAAAATAAAATGTCACTTTTAGCACTTATATCATAAATAACTATTGTCAAAGAAGGTCAAAAAACAAGAAAATTAAATTCAGCTGCACAACTTGTCAAAGCATTTCTTTATTAAGGCCGCGTTAATGGCGGCCATGTTTAAACTGTGATTGGTTGATTTTTCGAAACTTGTTTTAAGGTCTTTAAAAAAACGGCACATCAGAATTGGCTCAAATTTGGCATAAACATTATTTGATCGATTATCTACAATTCCTTATTTTGGTTTTTCGATATTCAGCCTTTTTTTTTTTAATTCAAAAATCATGTTCGCAACCATCAAAACCATTAAATGTGTTGGTGGTTGCATATTTGCATGTTTATCAAGCTTGGATCCGCTAAAAGCATATTTTATTGATAACCATCAAAAACTGAAAAAATACTGTAAACGAGTCTTGAATGGGCATCAAAAAAGGCAACTTTTTTCTAATTTACCCGAGCTTGTAGCTCTTACAGTTTCCAATATAGCAATAGTGGTATCACTTAAAATATGCACCCTGTATAATGTACTATTATGTATCAAGGATACTAAGTAGATGATTATGCCCTGAAGGCGACAGTCTTACAAAGCCAAGGGCCTCTTCAAATTGACACTGATACAGAGATTCAATCCACTCATTCCACCTTTGCAGAACTTGTGCCGAGTTTGCGACGTTCGCCGTCTCATTCTGATAATAAACACTCAGTTTTGGTTTGATACTTGCCGATTTTCCAACCGAATACTTATTTGATGATCTGCTGTCATTTTGGGCAAATGATCTTCACAGTTTGGAAGTGCCTGTAGAAAACTTATTTAACCTCGTAGATCATTTTCATTATTTTCTGTTTTCTAGTTTCTTAAGTTGAGCCAAGATTTCAAGAATACTCTGTTTGTGGTGAGATTGAATGCTTTGTGAAGAAATAATAATAACAGTCGATTATTTTTTTAAATCTTTTTTCGTTTTCTTCAGCAATAGGAACCTATTATTTCTCTGATGATTTTCTCTATGATTTCTTGAAAATAGCATACAAACCAAACAACATTAATATGTACCTGATATATTGTGATAAAACCCATTTCTATTTCTTTCTCAGATGTTGCTAAAACAAAGCAAAGAAATTTCCAAAAAGCTATCAACGATTTTGACATAAGATGGAACCTAGTAACTCCACAAGACATGAGTCCACCGACCATCACCAAAAGATATTCTCACACAGCAGTCATTTGTGATGATTCCATGTACGTTTTTGGTGGGTGTACCAGTGCCATGACAACATTCAATGATCTTTGGAAGTTGAATTTGTCAACAAGAACTTGGGGGAGGCCTCTTGCAATGGGAACTTATCCGTCACCTAAAGCTTGCAGTTCTCTGGTGCATTATAAGGACTATTTAGGTAAGAGAAGTATATTTTCTATGATATTGAATTCTTTTTTTCTTAAACAATTAACACGTGAAGTGCCACTATAAAAGCGTTTTTTTTTGAGTCCCTGGGGCCACAAACATAATATATTTGCAACTATAATTTTGTAAATATTGGCCTTGGTGGGTCAGATACATCCACCAATCAATAGGCCAAGTCTAGGAAAATGTTGCTAAAACACTTACAAACACACTCCCATAAGAAATATATGCGGGCGGTTGTTAACTGCGATGCACCATGGCACTGTACGTTTTAGCTATAAAATAATGATAATTTGAAACAATATAAGTACAAAAGTATTTATGTTTAAATATAGTTATGGACATCCCATAAGAAGTCAGGAACATTTAATGGAATAACACTAATAATCATGCCGAAAACATGGTTTTTAAATTAAAAAAAAAATAACATGCAAAACATAAAAATAGACACATATTATCAATAGAAAACTAAAGGAAAATATTTGGATGTATAAAAATAGAAATATCCCGCTGGTTGTAGTAGGAAAGTTGTGGGTGGTGAAAAATATTTTGATACTTTTATCTAGCAAAGCAGAGAAGAACTGGAAGATTATACTTTTTTTCTTGAAAATATATATTTTTTTTTTTAAATTTTCATTCAAAAATTAACCAAATCTCAAAAATTTCAGTTCAAAACTTGATGCAAACCTTTAAATTTCTATTTTGGAAATGAATTCGTTTTCCTTTCTTTGAGCTTTAATTGGATGGTCTGACGCCATATTCTATTTATAAGTTACACATACAAGGACATTTATAAACAGCGTGCAGGTGACCTGTTAAAGATCAAAGACATTTCAGAAATTTTTGTGTTTCGAAAAAGCATTGGCTTCCTGTAATTTGGGAATGAGTATGGCCTTGATCTTCTCTTTATAAATACATTGAATCCTGACTATAAATTCAAAAGATAAGTTGCTATTTATGATGCATCGCATTCCTATCCTAGAAGGGTAACATTTATATCAATAATTAAATATGTCAAGTATAATATATGTTTTTTGTAGCCAAACACTTCTTTTTGTATAAATAGCTTTTATTTATTTAACCTACAGTTTTCCAAATTTCAATTTTCAATTTATTTTCTTCTAACTGAAATCTTTTGATTACTATTGTTACCAAGATTGTTACTCTCCACTTCCTGCTAAAGACTCCGATTTCTTGATTAAAGTTAATAAAAAGTTTCTTTTTTTAATTTGTCCAGACTTTATTTAGAACTTAGGGTAGTAGATGTAAGATTTAGGTTCACAGATAATAAAAAATTCAAATTCTTTCACAAGAATCATATTATTCAACTTAGAACTTTTATGCCGGTATCCCTCATCTACATACTTATTAGTATTACCGATTGTGAAACCAAGTCAAGAAATTTTTCTAGAACAAACACCTCATTACTTGAGTCCCTGCTGAAATCTAGCGGTGGTATCTCCGAGGGTTGATAACTCCTTAAAATATGTATACAGATTTTAAATCTTAATTGATTTTGTAGGATTTTGAGGATTTTGAAAATCTTCACATGATTTTACAGGATTTTAGAAGATTTTAGGTAATTTTGGAGCATTTTAGGGAACTTAGAAGGGTTTTTAGAGATCCTAAAGGATTTTCAGCAATTTTAACGGGTTTTAATAAATTTTTAAAACTTTTAAAGGATTTTTTTTTAGGAATATTTATGATTTAAGTAGGAAGATTTTGTTGAATTTTTAAAGATTTTCAGTGATTTTAAGTAGATCTTACGAGTTTTTCTGGGATTTTGACCAACTTGTTCACAGTTATTTTTGACCAATCGACCGCTCCGAGGTTTAGTTAACTCTATAAAATAATGAACACATATTTTAAATCTTAATTGATTTTGTAGGATTTTGGAAATTTTGAAAATCTTTACACGATTTTACAGGAGTTCAGAAGATTTCAGATTTTTAAAATCTTAGGTGATTCTGGAGTATTTTGAGGGGTTTTCAAAAGTTTTTAGAGATTCTAAATTCAAATGACAAATTTAAATAGAAAAACGGAAATTCCTAGACATTCTACTATAGGATTTCATAATGCTTTTCCGAATTTCATCATATGATTCTATGGAATTCCACCATAAAATTCAATGGAATTTTTGGACTAAAATTCCTTGGTTTTACACTACTTATGAGATTTCATGAAATTCTTCGGCATTCCACTAAAATTTCAAGTTATTCCATGGGAATTCTGCGAAAATTTATGTTAATTCCATATTTATAGAAATTCCTTAGAATTTCACTAGAAGATTTTATGGAATTCCTCGAAATTCCATTCAAATGACAAATTTTAATAGAAAAACAGAAAGTCTTAAAAATTTTACCATAAGATTTCATAATACTTTTCCGAATTTCACCATAAGATTCCATGGAATTCCACCATAAAATTCAATGGAATTCAAAAACAAAAAACAAAAACTCCTCGAAATTACAGTAAAAGATTTCATGAAATTTCCGGAATTCCACTAAAATTTTATGTAATTCGACAGAAATTACTCAGAATTTCACTAAAATTTAATTCAATTCTTCGGAATTTCGTCGAAATTTCTCGTGGTTCCATGGAAATTCCACGGAAATTCTGTTTAATTCCAAGGGAATTCTTCGGATTCCATGTAATTTCACTGGAATTCCACAAAAAAATTTCAAGGAATTCCATGTATGTAATTCGACGTGATGTCCTTGCAATTTTACTCGACATTTCATCGAAATTTTATGTAAGTCGACACAAAGTGAAATTATATATAATTTGATGGAAATTCTGCCAATATTTCATTATTATTATTATTTTTTTTTCGAAATCCCACTGAAATTCTCCAACATTCTATAGAAATTCCTAATTCCATAGTTTTTTTAAAACTTTACTGAAATTCTCCAAAACTTCACCACTGAAATATCCCGGAATTCCACAAAATTTTCATAAAATTTTTCGGAATTTCAATGACATTTCCTGTAATTTCTTAGAAATTACTCGGAATTTCACTAAAATTTTATGAGAATTTTTTGAAATTTCACCGAAATTCCACGTTATTAGTCGAAAATTTCGCGAAATTCCAATGAAAATTCGATTTTTTTTTCACAATTTCATTTATTTCCATAAGAATTTTTTCGGAATTTCACTGAAACTCTTTCAATAGTCAGGAATTTCTGGGAATTTTAATAAAACTTCAAGTAATTTCTTGAAAATTCCTCCAAAATATATTGAAATTTTATATCATTATATGGGAATTTTTTCAAATTTTACCGAAATTCCTAGTTTTTAGCTGAAAATTTCTCGGAATTCCACTTGTGAAATTTTCTCTAAAATTTGACTAAAATTCAGTAATTCGATGGGAATTTTTCGGAATTTCAATTTCACTAAGATGCCTTGTTTTTAACGGGGAATTCCTTGGATTGAAAACAAAACTTCATGTAATTACATTAGGATTTTTCGATAAGATTCGTTCAAAATTCCACTTAAATTTCAAGTAATTCCCTGACAATCCTTGGAATTCCATGCAATTGCATCGGAGCTCCATATAGTTCGACGAAAATTCCTCGGAATTCATGTAATTTTTTAAAACTTTTTTGAAATTCTTTATGTAATTTAACGAGCACTGAAATTTCATGTTGGGAATTTCGATGTAATTCCATGTAATTGTTTAGAATTTCTCCATGCAACTCATTCAGAATTTTGTATAATTCGATCGAAATTCCGCTGAAATTTCAAAGAAATTTCTCGAAATTTCATGTAATTCGAGAGGAACTAAAATTTAATGTGAATTCTGTAAAAACTCCGCAAAAACTTCACATGTAATTCCTTTTTCGGAATAACATAATTCTACCGAAATTCCTCGGAATTCCATTCCTAGAAATTTTACTATAAGATTTCATAATACTTTTCCAAATTTCACCAGAAGATTTCATGAAATGCCACCAGAAAATTTTATGGAATTCTTAGACAAAATTTTTTCGGAATTAGGTACAGGGTACAGTATAGAATTTCATGAAAATCTCGGAATTCCACTAAAATTTCAAATTCAAAATTCCATAATTTTTTTTTTAACTTCACTGAAATTCCCCAAAGTTTCACCACTGAAAAAATATAACAAAACTCAAGAAAGGCGAAGTTTTTATAATTTTTGACGAAATTTGGTAACAGGGTATTCTAGATTACTGTCTCAAATAGGTTTTGAAATCGTTAAGGGATTATGGGTGCAAAATATTCTGGCACGTTCGCCAGCAGAACCGTGACAATATGGATAGGGTACCACCACCACCATCTTCTAGCAGGGACTCAACCCTGATTTAATTTATTGAATTTATCTTTCAGTTTTATTTGGTGGTTGGACTTACCCACCCACCTACCCTCTCTACCAAGGTTGGCATTTATTCAACGAACTCCACATCTACGATATCAAAGCCAATCGATGGACTTGTGTAAGTACAATCCGTACTCCTCCACCTGTAGCAGGCCATTCCGTTTCAGTGGTTGGCGAATGGATGATAATTTTTGGCGGTTTACAGAAACCTAGTACTGCTGTGCACTGTGAAAAATCCAATGATATTTGGAAGTTGCATTTAGAAACGTGGACTTGGTATAAGCAAGAAGTAGAAGGTTAGTTTTGACTTGAGCTTTTTCTTATTAAAGTAGCTGCCAATTTTTTATTGTTTTAGATGGTCCAAAACCGCACGGTAGATTTGGACAAACTCAAGTGATATTAGATGATACGAATTTACTAATTTTGGGAGGTTCAGGTGGTCCTAATAGTCAGTTTTGTGACTGTTGGATATTAAACATGGTAGGAAATTTATGGAGATGGATTAAAGTGGATATTGTGGGCAAGTCAAATGAACCTGTCAATGTTTGGAGTAATCCGGGATGTAAGGTGGGAGATAAAGTTGTTGTCTTGAACAGGATAAGACAAAATGACGAAAATCCAATAGTATATTATCCAAGGAGTCAATGGAATCTGACATCAGAAGACAGCAGATTGTCAAGGATTGATTTGGCAAATAGAAGACCAGGTATTGAAAAATTTTTGAACGAACAAAAACAAATACATGCATAGATCAAATAACAACCACAAACATTCATATTTGAATTTGATATACCAGTCTGGCAAGTAAACATCTTACAGACCAATTTGCATTCCCAGCACTCCATGCTGGAGGTGGAACAGAGGAAATCGTTTTTGTTCTCTATTTAACTTTAAGATTTTTTCTAGACATTTCATTCTATTGCATTGAAATTAGCCTGTAAGATGTTGACTCGCCCAGACCTGTAAAGTCCTCCTTTTATTTATTTTTCTTTGAGTTTAGATGTAGATGAAAATGTAAATGGGAGACGAGGCAATTTAAGGAATTCCAAAAGAGAAGCGGAAGAGCATGACGAATCTGTTCCAGGTCCATCTTTCGTTGCTAATAATATTCCCGAAATAAGAGTGAGTCAATTTGTAAGTGATTGAATACCTTGGCATGTTTAAAAGTGTTTTTTTTTTTGTGGTGCGTTTATAGGTTCCACAATCAGTTCCGATGGCAGCTTTTCAATCCTCTCAAATCGGCATGCACCAAAGAAATCTTCTGCGTGAAAGAAGAATCCAAACTTTACAATCTATAAAATTGAAACTAAAAAAGAATTCATTACAAACAAGTAAAAATGAAAAACCCCGACGTTTGGGCATCTATGTGCTTGACCTTTCAGAAGTATTAAGCAAGAACCCAAGAGCAACATGGTTGCCACCGAATAATCTAAATAATGGAACTGGAGAAACCATTTTGTATACTCTCATGAAAGGTAGATCTGAACTGATAATGTTTGGAGGAATTCTGAAAGACGCCAATTTTTCGTCAACATCAAATTTGAACCATCAAATATCAAATTCCTTGCATTTTATTACGGCACCCAACTATGTGATATAGTTTATGTTTATAGAATAATAAAGTTGTCAAATAGAGATGATTATGCTTAGGAAGATAAGTGTGTGCTTATTATACAAATTTGTTTTTTTTTTATTTAGTTGTTTCATTAGCTGAAACCTACCAATGTTTTTTTATTTTTATTTTATGACAAACATTTGGATCAAACCTGATCAAAACTGAGTTATTTCTTATGGCGGGTTTATAAAGAATTTTTTAGTATTATAACTATGGATAAGCTTATTCCTGATATTAAAGAATAAACTTAAGAATTTCAAGTGTTTATAGAAAATATGTAAGCTTATCGCATTTATAATGTTTCGGTTTCCTGAATTGAAAATGACAATCATGTCTTGCGGACGAGAATTTAATATGTATATTATCTGTTCACAATCCGATGTCCACAGGTACAGGTAAAATTTATCACCTTTCAATGCTATTTGATAAGGAAAGATGATAAATTTACCTGAACCTGTGGACATCGGATTGTGAACAGGATATATATTAGAAACTGTTCAAGGTCACTTCTTACCACTAAAACTAATCATCATCATAAATCTAGTGCATAAACACACTCATTTGAAATAAAGTTAATTCAATTTCCAAAGCTTAAGTTTAATGATAAGCTTAACGCTAAACAAATCTGTATAAACCCGCCATTAGTTGTTTGACAGATAAAGCCGGAGTCTCATTCATCCGTTTTCCGACGTCCTATGTCCGAAAAACCTTCTAATCTGACATATTTTTTCACCATTTTTTTTTGCAAGTCTCATGATTTCGGATGCATTCGGATCCGATGGAGCGAAAAATAACCTCTACTGTCATTATGTCATCGTTTAACGGCAATGTTTTTGAAATAATAGCTATTTATGTAGAACTACATTACAAGAACAAGCGCTGATTGACGTTGCTGCCTCTAGCGAGAAAAGAAAAACCAATATAAATTTTTTTGTGGTTCTAGAGGAATATATAGCGTGTGGCTAAATTCAGTTGGTGTAGGCACCGTGGTGGAATGTTAAAGAAAGCCAAAGTTGTTTGAGAGAAATATGTTGCCTGGATAACTTAATGACGTCATCTGGGGTGCCTCAACATAATGCAAAACTCCATAAGGCACCCCAGATGCGTCATCAAGTTACCCATTACCAGACAACGTATGAACTTTGGGAACATTGAGAAATAGCAGTGTTGTTAAATTAAACATGGTTTGGCATCAAGAACGTTTGGCATTAGTAGTTGTATTCCTTTCAAGAGTTTAGAACACTAGACTTACTCGCTCCGGGCCGCGTTCACATTGAAACGTCGGACAAGGTAACTTACCCGATAAATGACGTCATGGGCGAATCGTCGGGCGATGGTTAAACTGAACGCACTAGATGCTTTTTGCTATTGACGTCGTCGACTTCGTTAACATACAGAGTGAATTTTAAGTATGGAACGTCCCAATTATCTCGCAAACGGCTTGCACGATTTTTATGAGTTTTGGTTTGTTTGTCCGATAATGGTAGTATTTACATGGTTGTCCGATCTTTAGTTTTTCGGGAAATATCAGAAACTTTTGTTTTTTCAAATTGATCACCCTGTATATTATGACATTTCTGGGATCTGCGGAAAATTCTAGATATATTTCATGTACAATGTCATATACCTATCTTCAACTGTTTCGGAAATATTGTCAACTCATAAATGTCTACAAGCCCACAGACTATAAAAATAAAATGAATTTGGCGCTTGTACTATAGAAAATTAACTGACTCTGCTGACGGTAGCAATAATTCTTCTTTCTCTTGGGTTTGACTTGCTACAGTACGACTGAGATCCTAAGGTGAATGTCATGCGATAGAAGCCCCACTCAACGCCCCAAATCTAGAGCTATGGAAACTAAGCTCCTCGTTGGTACATTTTCATAGGCCTGTTTGGTTACTATTGACAGTGTAGGACCTTTCCCTAAAAATAGGCATTCCAAGGGAATGTTAAATGATGGCCCACCAGGGAAGAACATTTACTGCGATCTATTTTTGGTAAACCCTATTTACTCATCTCCTAAATAAATTAAGGTGTAATATTAGATGTATTAACTACTAGTGGTGAAATCTTTCCTTTCCCCCCATAATCTCTTGTAAGGATAATCTCTTTTCAGGATAAACTTTTAGCCGACGTAGCCAAGTATAGATAAAGTGGTGGCATCGCTGACCAGAAACAACCTAAGCGTGACAATATTGACAGTTAAAAATTGACTTTTTTTGCATCTTTGGCAGACTGTAAAACCTAAACGGTTGATTTTAGAGCAAAACCCATCATATAATTCTTAGCTTAGTTTTTTATAAACTATCATTTGACACCAAGTTTAAATTTAATCTCCAGTTAAATTAATAGGTAGTAAGTAGGTTTCAAATGATAGCTAATGAAAAGCTACACATGAGAATTTAAAATCGGTTTCGCTGTAAAATTAGCCGTTTAGGTTTCACAGCCTGTCAATGTTTCAAAAAAGTCAATTTTCAACTGTCAATATTTCCGAAGCAGTATATAACATTGTATATGAAATAGAAATATGTTTAGAATTTTCCGCAGAATCCATAAATGTCATAATATACAGGGTGATTTATTTGAAAAAACAAAGTTTCTGATATATATTTCCTGGAAAACGAAATATCTGACAAGTGTAAATACTACCATATTATCGGCCATATTAAAACACCCTTTTAAACCAAAATTCATACAAATCGTGCAAGCTGTTCCCGAGATAATTGAGACGTTCCATACCTAAAACTCACTCTGTATATCGTTATTCTGTACCTTAAGGTGACATTGAAATACCGGCCCTAAGTCAGTTTTAAGTATGCAGGACGCGTCAAAAAATTGTAGCAGAGCGAAGTTATATTTTTTCAATGGAACACCATGTATATTGTGCACTTATTTGTTAGTCCCCTTCGACCCCTTCAACCTGATTTCAACGATACATTTGATATGTTTATCTTCAATAGTTATAGGGAAACATGTGAAAACCCCTTCCAACGTCGGTCTGCTACACTTTTTTTGATGCACCCTGTTTGCTTAAAACTGACTTAATTGAATACTTTTGACAATTTCTCAAAACTTTTGTATTTGACTTCAATGACTTCTGTCAAAAACGTCAAATGAAAAAGTTAGGAGGGGTGACATTTATAATAGATCACCCTGTACTATTTAATAAAATTTGCATATTATAATATGTTATACAAAGTTATTTTTACTTTGATTCAGAAAAATATTTAGTTAAACATCTTAGTAAAGTCTGTTTTTTTTTTTAAAGATAAAAGTCAAAATGACATTATGTTGGCAATACAATGTAAAATTGTCGATGCTTTCAAATTTTTCATGTTGAAAAGGCTTGTGTTGCCAACATGGTTACTAAATTTTTGACTTGGGTTCTATATTTTCAATAATAAATTAAAACACATTTGTGATCTTTTAAATTTTTTTTGTATTAAATTTTTATAACGAAATTTTAATCACCTCACTTAAGCCACCAAAGCAGATGCAGTGCTGGATTCGTATTTCCAGTTTGGTGCCAAAACGGTCTTGGTTTTGTAGTATCTAGCCAAACGGTGGATACGCGATTCGACCAAAATGAGACGGAACTTGCTGTCTTTGTCCTTCCTGTTTCTTTCCAAATGTTTACGGATAGCTACAGCCTTTTTGATCAAATAGTAAAGATCTTCAGGTAGATCGGGGGCAAGACCCATAGCTTTCATCAAACGCAGAATTTTGTTACCGCTGACAAAACGAACTTGGGCTACTCCATATGAATCCCTGAGAATTACACCTGAAATTAAAAAGACACTTGAATAAATATTTTCTATTATTGCATCCTAAAATGTAATTTTTTTATTCTATTCCCTAATATGTCATTTCATCTACAATTTCAATAATTCATCAAACTATCAATATCAGTTAATAGACACAAAGAATGGCGTTACTCATACCTGCATTAAACAAACAAAATATTTCCAGATGTATATTAGCTGATATTGATATTTTGATGAATTATTGTTAAAACTGCATATTTAAGAGATTTGCTGTGAAATTTTTTTTACTTGGTAAACTCACTAGAGTGAACACACGCTTTTGTGAACCTCCCAGTAGTATGAATAGCCAGAATAAATATGTAGAGGATCTGTTAGTCTGTTCCTTATAATTAGTACGGCTTCTACAACTTAAACAAACAAAAAAATAGAAAAAAAGTTAAATACAAAAGTAGTATGGTTTTATCTCTATTTTCTTTTGCACATGTCAAAACGCGCAATTGACAGGTGCCAACTGTCATAATGACAAACAAATGCATTTTTTAAATAGAACACCCTGTATATTTTTGGATAGAATTATTTCTTTTTTTCTTCTGATTCCGAATAGGTATACCATATATGTTGATATTCAGTTCAGCTGTTTTGTGTTATTCAAGTTTAATAGTACATTAAAATACAAGTTTCATAAGACGTCATTTTATCGCAGGAGCCCTATATTAGAAAACGAGCCGGAGGCGAGTTTTCTAAAGGGAGGGTGCGATAAAATGTCTTATGAAACGAATATTTTATACTATTTTTTCTATTTTGGTATCGTTTAATTAAAAAAACTTTTTCTTCGAAATTTTATTCTCATATTTCCTGATTTCATAGTTTAGGTTGGTAACACTACATGCCAAATATAGAAATCTTCTATTATAAAATAGCGAATGACAGTTTGATGGCCATCAGTCAGTCAGTGTCACCAATCTCCGATAAGTAAAAAAGGAGTGTCACAAAGAGCTTCTTTTCGAAACTACTTTAGTGTCGAAAAGACTTCGATATGACGCCAAAATAGAAAAAATTGCATTAAATAACCATCACCATTGATATGAGGAACTGGGAACATACCTAATTTAGGGTAATGTAAATGTATTTTTAAACTTAAATAGCGTCAAAACAGCTGAACCAAATATCAACATACAATGGTATATTTGGAATCAGAAGAAAAAAAGAAATCATTCTAGCCAAAAATATACAGGGTGTTCCAGTTAAGCAATGCAAGTGTTTGTCATTATGACAGTTGGTGTCAGTGAAAATTTTTAGGCTACGCCCCACATTTCTTTCCCCTTTTGACTATCAAGTTACCACTTGCCAGACTATATATTATATTATATTCTGTTAATTTCTGGCTTCTATTTTTTTTATCTTTGTTGTTTTATTTTACCTTTAAGGCTGAAGCTTTTAGGTATGTATTTATTATAACTTTTGTCACTTTTTTTTTTACTGAATGAACTACATGTTAAATGGCTGGTCCGTTAATAAAACATATATTTATTTGATATATTATGTTGAATGTATTATTGACCCCTGTGCATCCTGACAAAGAAACACTGATGATGGTCTAAGGCCAGAAGCGTGCTTTAGGTTTGAGCAACAAATCAGCTTTTTACTTTAATAAATATTATGGCGTTTCCGATTGGTAGATCTAGTGTGGAACGTGGAACTAGTGCAAATTTTCTATTTCTGTCTATTTCTTCTACAGGTCGTTTGAAAAGATGCAAATACACTCACTGCGCACTGAATCTACCAATTGGAAACACCATTAGATTTCAGAGGGGGCCGTTTCTTAGGCCAGAGAGTAGAGATCCCCATGAGAACAAATTTTGAGTCTTTACCAGGAACCCACCACAGGACAGCTCTGCTCAGTGCGTCGAAGCCAACAGAGGTACTCTTAACTTCAACTAATTTTTAAACAAAGTGTACACTTGGCCAAACATAAAACTGGTACGCATTTTCCTATTGTGTTGTATTGTGTAAAACGACCTTTTTTATCACCTCAACAATGACAAAAAGAGTCAAGTCAGTGTCATATTTAAACCAATCATAACATAAAAATGTTGCATTTACTTTTGTTCAGCTTTGACATTGACAAAAACTGTCTAGCCTATGGCTACGTTCACCAGAACCAAAACGGATTGTAAACAGTTTACAAATACCAACAGAATACGTTGGGTAAACTATTGGTTCTGCTGAACGCTGAACTGCAACTTTTCAATGATAGAACGTCACCTTCTGAATGACAGGTCATCACACAAAACACAGTGTTGAAAATTATAAACACTCTGAAATTATGCTTGCAAAAATGGCGACCGTTTGCAAAACATGTTTGGTTTTAACACAAATTCAACATAGCGTTCAGCAGAACAATCGCAAACCGTTTACCAACGTTTGTATTTGGTGAACGCGGCCTATGTTTTTCAGAAGAGACTTTTTGTTGTTAAGGTTTAAAATCAGGCCTATCGTTTATTACAGCAACGCGAGATGTCATTACTGTCGCCCCTACAGTGTGCCCTAACTTGATAGTAAAAAAAAATAGAAATCTTCATTTGGTTAAATTGTGTGATGGAAAGTTTTTTCTTTTTTTTGCGGAAATTCAAAGTCATATTCTGTTTTACATAAACAGTATGTAATTTGGACCAACGCAAATAATTTTGAACGTTCATCTGTCGGATTTTTTTTTAAACAGTGTAGCTACAGGCGTATTTCCAAATATTTTTGCAGTAGCGAGAAAACTACATGTTCAAAAAATTTGAAAAAAATATATGTCGCGTAGAATTGCAATAGTAGTTTGTAATAAAAATAACGGGAAACTTCATCTATTAGTTTTGAAATAAATGGTGAAAAACCACTTTTTTTTCAGTTTTTACGATATAACTCAAAAATGGCGAGTCAAATTTGTTTAAAAAAAATATGGATTAAAGTATATCAATAATCATAAAACATATATTTTTTTTGGAATTTTCGAACACAAGGTTCAGAAAATAGGGGTTGACTTTAAACCTTAAGCCTGACTCACACTAGGCAAATTTAAAATATATATTGTGCCTGTACCAGTTTTATGTTTGGCCAAGTGTACACAGTCAAAAATGGGACACCCGATTTTTCCTATTGTAAAACAAGCTCACCAGCACATACACTTGGCCAAACATAAACTGGAACAGGCAAAATATATACTTCAAATTTGCCTAGTGTGAATCAGGCTTAATAACAGAAAGTCTCTTCTGAAAAATATAGGCTAGACAGTTTTTGTCAATGTCAAAGCTGAACAAAAGGGTGCTTTCTTTTATTCAGCAACATGTTTTTATGTTATGATTGGCTTAAATATGACACTGACTTAACTCTTTTTGTCATTGTTGAGGTGATAAAAAAGGTCGATTTACACAATACAACACAATAGTAAAATGCGTACCAGTTTTATGTTTGGCCAAGTGTACCTAGGGCACTACGGCAGACAGGGATTGTCATGTCACTTCTGACAAAAAAAATCCCTTGTAGACCAATTTACCAGTAGTTAGGGTTAAATGTAAAGCTACATCCTCAATCAATTCAGCAGCGAAGTGGCACTTCGGCACGCGTGCTGGAAAATTGATACCCATCCTCAATGCTGTCAATTTATGTAATGGTAGGTAATTTAACTTGCGTTTGGTATTTTGTTCAAAGAGCAGAGCGTGCAGAGTGGAGCCGTAATCATGTGACCAGCGAGCGCACAAAGCAGCTCAGAGGGCTTGAAATTTCAATAAACGAACGTGAATGAGCCTGCACCGAGTACACTTTTTGAATAAACATAAGGTAAATTCATGCTCGGAGAACTCAGATCCAAATACTGAACGTACCGGTAATGTACTGACACAAGTCGTCACAAATGTGCTTTCTGGGAACATTGCTTGAGATTTGAGATGACAGTCCACTGCATCGCATTTGTTTATTGATTTGTCATTCTGTTTATTGACTTAGATTTATTCTGCATTTAGATTTAGTTAGGTTTAAGTTTAGTTATGTTAAATTTAATGTATTATATTGAAATTTAGTTGTAAAATGGGCTACCCGTTGATAAATAAAATAAAATAAATAAAATCGAAAAAGCTTGCATGCTTGCACTTCAGAGTTGGCGTGCATGCTAGCACGAAATTGAATTGAGGATGCCAACGTTAAACAACATTGTCCTAGCATGCGTGCCAGAGTGCCACTTCGCTACTAGATTGATTGAGGATGGGCCTTTAGCCTTGATTCCAGGTATTCTTTCAATCTGAACAAACTGATTGAAAGTCACTTGAGGTTTCTTTCAAACAATTGTCATCTGGTTTTACCACGATTTCATTGGCCCTATTTTTTTAACGCCTCAAAACAAACCTGATGTAATTACAATACGTTTGTTCAGATCATTAATTTGAAATAATTAATTTGAAATACAATATGCACTAACAGAATAGGAAACAAAAACAAAATACTTACCAATTTGAGAAGGGGTAAGGCCTTTCTTGCCAAGTTTCACGATGTGTTCCTTGACCTCTTCCGGTGTTACTTTAAGCCAAGTTGGTACACTGCGTCTGTACGGCAGGGCAGATTGGGCAATACCCTTTCTAGAAAATATAAAATAATGAATGATTAATGAAAACTGTACCCCGAAAATCCAGAACCATGCGGCAACATAACCCCAAACGAGCATTTATGTTTTTAGACCAGAAAAAGGAGCGAAAAATTATTGTTTCGGAAAATTGGCATGTTCCAGGATCCGTTGGTTGCTTGAATAAATAATTTTACGTACCCAGGTGCGTGCATACGACCCATTTTTATGGATTTTTGTTAAAAACGATCTGCGGAATCACACAGCAACGTCAAAAAAGAGCTCCTTGTCGTCAAGGTGCTACGAAATTCAGAAAACGCGCAAGCGCAGGCTTGTTCACTACGAACAAGTTTATTCGTAGTTATAGCGATTTCGATTTGAGAAAACTTTTGAGGAATTCGACTACCCGTGTTCTGAATCGAGCGCGAGAGAGAGAGAGTGCATTTTGTGTTTTTATACCTTGCTCAGATCATAATACCGAACGAACGGATAGTCCGATCAGCGTTCGAGCTTTTCGAAAATTTTGGACGGTGCGAGTACCTAATCTTCTACCAAACGCAAAGACGATAGCCGTAATGGTAATTTGCAGAAAATCTGCTCAAATTTGAATACCTCGCACTAGTTGTATTTCTTTCAAGAGTTTGAAATACTAGGGTCATTTGCTCCGGTGTTAGTCGACCCCGATTTGAAAGGAACAGATGCGCTGGTTTCCCGCCCGGTATTCATAGTCGAAGTCGAGTGCTTGGCTCAAGCTCCGATTTTTGACAGTTGTGAGCATCGTTCTGTACCAATGAACTATAACCAAAAACTGGAATGCGTACACATTTTAGTTGTATTCCTTTCACACCTAGGAGGAGCTCCGGAACAGCTCCGGGGCTTCACGCCCTTATTCCTTTCGAAAATTGTTTGTTGCATCACGCATCTGTTCCCTGCAAATCGGGGGCTACGAAACACCGGAGCGAGTAGCTCGAGTGTTTCAAACTCTTGAAAGGAATACAACTATTGACGCCCGTGAAGCCTAGTGCCGCTGCTGCGGATGGGATACCTGTTTTTGTCGCACTCATTGTGTTAAATGGCGGAAATTGCTTCCAACACGTATTCCAATTCATGAAACCCGTAAAGGTAAATATGACAAAACTTTCGAAAACGTCATATGTCAGCGAGCAACAGAAAAAAACAACATTCCCTTTTGTGGCATCTGTCTTTCATGGCCTCATTTTTTTGGCAGATATGGCAATAGTTGTATTCCTTTCACACCTAGGAGGAGCTCCGGAACAGCTCCGGGGCTTCACGCGCTTATTCCTTTCGAAAAGTGTTTGTTGCACCACGCATCTGTTCCCTGCAAATCGGGAGCGACTAAGCACCGGAGCGACGTTTCGACTGGTAGGAGCAATGCAAGAGCAACATTAAAGTACGCGTTCGACTCGATTTGCACTGACCCGGTGCGAATCGCTTTCGTACTCGATACCAAATACGATATCGAGGAATCCGGAATTCCCTTTCAGCTTGCAGAAAGTTGAGGTACTACTACTACATGTTATTCTTATTTCATCTTCGAAGTAAACGCTACGTATAATTATAATCGAGCAGCACTTAGGTAAGTTCGTTTGATTATTTAATTCTACTCTACGCACAAATTTTAGGTTTTGCGCAGAATCGCGACGGTACCTTGTACGGTTTCCTACTGTGTTGGAACTGACCCAGAACTGACCTAAAATATTATTCTTCAAAATGTAAATTAGGCAATCTCAATCACGTGATTTTATATGGCCGTTCAAATCATGGATCAAATCACGGTCAAATATTGCGGTGACAAGCCGGTGACATTCTTAAGGAGAGCATTTGTGTTCTGGAGTCGTATTTTCGAATATTCTCGCATACGAAGTTCGATAGGATTTCGATTGCTCCCCATTTAATTTACATTGCTGTCAAATTTCGTGTACGAAATGTACCTACTCGAATGAATTCGAAAATACTACCCCATGGATCTTATCGTTTCGAGCGCGGTCAGAGTTCGTGTAAAGCCTAGTACTCATAACTGCGAAATTCGCTTTTTTTGACATTGCTTCGACAATTTGACGTTTGATACACGCATAAAACGTCAAATTGTCAAAGCAACGTCAAATTGTCAAAGCAATGTCAAAAAAGTGCGAATTTCGCAGTCATGAGTACTAGGCTTAAAACATCAATTTGTCGAAGTAATGTCAAAAAAGTGCGAATTTCGCAGTTATGAGTACAGGGCCGAGATTCTAAAATCACGATTCGACACACGACTCGACAACGATACCAGCCTTGTCGTGTCGAAAGGTATAATTCCAATGAGATTTCTAACCTAGAATCGTCGGAAAAATCGTCTCGTTGTCGACTCGTATGTCGAATCGTGATTTTAGAATCCCCGGCCAGCTTAAAGCCTAGTACTCATAACTGCGAAATTCGCTTTTTTTTTGACATTGCTTCGACAATTTGACGTTTGATACACGCATAAAACGTCAAATTGTCAAAGCAATGCCAAAAAAGTGCGAATTTCGCAGTTATGAGTACTAGGCTTTATACTAAGCTTTATACCGAATTCAGCCTTTGACATGCGTGGTGAATAAGTGGCAGTGTCAGCTGTTTATTTTTCTGGAAAATGCCGAAAATGGATAGAAACGACATTGGAAACGACAGAGGCCTTGGTTTTCTAGTCGTGCCGCCAATAAATAAGCAGTTTTCTCAAATCGAAATCGCTATTAGTTGGTGATTTTGTGCCGACATCTGTTATCAATGTACCGAGTATAAAATATAGTTCACGGCATCGTCGTTTGGCGAAGCTAGTGTCGCTTACACATCTATTTCTATCTATCAAATGAAGTGATAATCTGGGGCCCATCAAGGCAAGTAAAAAGTGCTGCAGCCATTTTCTCGTTCACCTGTACGAAAATCGTGAAACTCGGGTTGTGATCGGGACGGAAAAGTGACTTGGACGGGCCCGCGATTTCGTGGTTTTTCCGATAATCGCAAACTTCGAGGAGAAAAAGGGGGACTGCAATTAGGAGAAAAATGGATGTGACCAGTGTGTGTTGACATATAGTGGGAACAATTATTTATTATTGTGACGTTTGTGTGTCCTCCGCCGCTCTTGCAACCTGCTTGGTGCTTTAGGCGGAGCGTGTAAAGGAAAACTCGAAGCCCTGGAAGGTTTAAAAGTCCTCACCATGGGCAACAATGCCGCTACGGCGAATAAAAAGGTCGATTCCGCGGAGTCAGTCAAGGAATTCCTCGATCAGGCCAAAGAGGATTTTGAAGAGAAATGGAAAAAGAATCCGACAAACACGGCTTCTTTGGACGATTTCGAACGGATAAAAACGTTAGGAACAGGCTCATTCGGACGAGTCATGATAGTACAACACAAACCCACCAAAGAGTACTACGCCATGAAAATCCTGGACAAGCAAAAAGTTGTAAAACTCAAGCAAGTCGAACATACGCTGAACGAGAAACGTATCCTCCAAGCCATTAGTTTTCCGTTTTTAGTTAGTTTGAGGTTCCATTTTAAAGACAATTCTAACCTCTATATGGTCTTGGAGTATGTGCCAGGTGGCGAAATGTTTTCCCATCTTCGAAAAGTGGGACGGTTCTCTGAGCCGCATTCGCGATTTTATGCTGCTCAGATAGTGCTTGCTTTCGAGTACCTGCATTACTTAGATCTGATTTACAGAGATCTGAAACCTGAGAACTTACTGATAGACTCGCAGGGCTATCTCAAAGTTACCGATTTCGGTTTTGCCAAACGTGTCAAGGGCCGCACCTGGACCCTGTGTGGAACACCAGAATATTTAGCTCCAGAAATTATTCTTAGTAAAGGTTACAATAAAGCTGTTGACTGGTGGGCATTGGGTGTTCTTGTTTATGAAATGGCCGCAGGATATCCACCATTTTTCGCTGATCAACCTATTCAAATTTATGAGAAAATTGTATCGGGCAAAGTACGTTTCCCATCGCATTTTGGCTCAGATCTAAAAGACCTTTTACGTAACTTATTGCAAGTAGATCTTACAAAACGCTATGGCAATTTAAAAGCTGGTGTCAACGACATCAAAGGCCACAAATGGTTCCAATCGACGGATTGGATTGCAATTTTCCAAAAGAAAATCGAGGCACCCTTTATACCTAGATGCAAAGGTCCAGGAGACACCAGCAATTTTGATGATTATGAGGAGGAAGCATTACGCATATCGTCGACTGAAAAATGCGCCAAGGAATTTGCTGAGTTTTAAAGGATCATTCTTTTTATATGTAAGTAGACCTGAAACATTGTTCTTGATTTATTTTGAATTGGAAATTGATTATTTGTTGTGGGAAGACTGGAGAAAGTGAGCAAATTAAGGTTAAGGTTTACTATTTAGATTCGTGTGGGCAAATGAATAAGGTACTTCAAAAATCAATTATTATACACCATTGCCTTTACTGTCACGTATATAAAGTTAGCAGTGCAAAGTCAGCAGTGCAAAATTTTTATGACTGGAAAAATTAGTGCTAATTAAATGCCAAGTTCACAAATTTTGTGCTCTTGTAGTTTCCAAGATATGGCCTGCACTGCTAGCTACCCGTTAAAGATAGCAGTACACCATCCAGGATGATCCAGGAAAGTGGTAGGGTGACATAAATGATGAAGAAAATTAAGTGCTAATTAAATGCTACCATTTCCATGAACAAAATCTCTATTTTCAGCTTTTTTTCGGATATTTTCTAAAAGCAACGCTGTGCATTGCTTGCTTTATGCAGTACACATATTGAGTTTTCATGGAAGAAGGGATTGGTAGAGTTTCCGACATTTGAATAATTTAGTGCTAATTAAGTGCTAATTGAATGCCAAGTTCACAAATTTTGTGCTCTTGTAGTTTCCGAGATATGGCACCAACCAGGAATGATCCAGGAAAGTGGTAGGGTGATATAAATTATGAAAAAAATTAAATGCTATTTAAATGCTACCATTTCCATTAACAAAGTCTCTATTTTCAGCTTTTTTTCGCACATTTTTTAAAAACAACGCGGTGCACTGCTAGCTTTATGCAGTACATATACCTATTGAGTTTTCATGGAAGAAGGGATTGGTAGAGTTTTCGACATTTGAATAATTTAGTGCTAATTAAGTGCTAATTAAATGCCAACTTCACAAATTTTGTGGTCTTGTAGTTTCCGAGATGTGGCATGCACTGCTAGCTACCTGTTAAAGATAGCAGTGCATCATCCAGGAAAGTGGTAGGGTGATATAAATGATAAAGAAAATTGAATGCTAATTAAATGCTACCATTTCCATGAACAAAATTTCTATTTTCAGCTTTTTTTCGCATATTTTTTTAAAAACAACATGGTGCACTGCTAGCTTTATGCATATTGAGTTTTCATGAAAGAAGGGATTGGTAGAGTTTTCGACATAGGAATAATTTAGTGCTAATTAAATGCCAATTTACCAAATTTTGTGCTCTTGTAGTTTCCGAGATATGGCCTGCACTGTTATACCCGTTAAAGATAGCAGTGCACCATCCAGGAAGGATCCAGAAAAGTGGTAGCGTGATATATATTATGAAAAAAATTAAATGCTTCCATTTCCATTAACAAAATCTCTATTTTCAGCTTTTTTTTGCATATTTTTTAAAAACAACGTGGTGCACTGCTAGCTTTATGCAGTACACATATTGAATTTTCATGAAAGAAGGGATTGGTAGAGTTTTGAACATAGGAATAAGTTAGTGCTGATTGAGTACTAATTAAATGCCAAGTCACCAAATTTTGGGCTCTTGTAGTTTCCGAGATGTGGCATGCACTGTTAGCTACCTGTTAAAGATAGCAGTGCACCACATTGTTTTTGAAAAAATATGTGAAAAAAAGCTGAAAATAGAAATTTTGTTCATGGAAATGGTAGCATTTAATTAGCATTCAATTTTCTTCATCATTTATATCACCCTACCACTTTCCTGGATTATTTCTGGATGATGCACTGCTATCTAAGAGGTAGCTAGCAGTGCAGGCGATATCTCGGAAACTACAAGAGCACAAAATTTGTGAACTTGGCATTTAATTAGCACTAAATTATTCCTATGTCGAAAATTCTACCAATCCGTTCTTTCATGGAAACTCAATATGTGTACTGCATTTCAATTTTCTTCATCATTTATATCACCCTACCACATTCCTGGATGGTGCACTGCTATATTTAACGGGTACAGCAGTGCAGGCCATATCTTGAAAACCACAAGAGCACAAAATTTGGTAACTTGGCATTTAATTAGCACTAAATTATTCCTATGTCGAAAACTCTACCAATCCCTTCTTTCATGGAAACTCAAAATGTGTACTGCATAAAGCTAGCAGTGCACAGCGTTGTTTTTAAAAAAATATGTGAAAAAAAGCTGAAAATAGAAATTTTGTTCATGGAAATGGTAGCATTTAATTAGCATTCAATTTTCTTCATCATTTATATCACCCTACCTCATTCCTGGATCATTCCTGGATGGTGCACTGCTATATTTAACGGGTACAGCAGTGCAGGCCATATCTCGGAAACTACAAGAGCACATAATTTGGTAACTTGGCATTTAATTAGCACTAAATTATTCCTATGTCGAAAACTCTACCAATCCCTTCTCTCATGAAAACTCAATATGTGTACTGCATTGTTTTTAAAAAATATGCGAAAAAAGCTGAACATAGAGATTTTGTTAATGAAAATGGTAGCATTTAAATAGCATTTAATTTTTTTCATAATTTATATCACCCTACCACTCTCCTGGATCATTCCTGGATGGTGCACTGCTATCTTTAACGGGTAACAAGCAGTGCAGGCCATATCTCGGAAACTACAAGAGCACAACATTTGGTAACTTGGCATTTAATTAGCACTTAATTAGCACTAATTTTTCCAGTCATAAAAATTTTGCACTGCTGACTTTGCACTGCTAACTTTATATACGTTTTACTGTCAGTGGTTAATACAGTGGAACCCCAAGGTAACGTTAGGGTGCACCCTCCTCCCTCAGATAACTGATAATCCTGATTTATGCAAATTTAAACATTTAAAAAGCCCAAAAACATAACTGGGAAAATAATTGATTTCTGTAAAAACTTTCTAAGGATTTTTTTAAGCAGAATACATGAGTGCCCGAGTGAGTGCCATTCTTATTTATTTATTTTTTTCAGTTTTTTTTCTATTTGTCCCCAATTTGGAGATATTGAAAGCTCGATTTTTTTTGTCGTTGTAACCATTGCAATACATGCTAATCCAATAGTATAATTTCAACTTGGCTTTATTCATTTTGTACTCAATATAAAGATTAGCTTTATTGATAAACAAACTACATAATTGACTTGTTTACAACACAAATACTTATGAGGTTAGCATAAAAAGAAAGAAAATTTGTTGATCCAAACCAATAGGAATCTGTTTTTAGAGTTTTGAGTAGAGTAGGGATTTGAGAGAAAGCAGACAGTTGGTAAAAATTAAACAATAACTTTTTCTTCTTTAGTAACTAAGGCAAAAACATTTATATTTTATATTGACAGTTCCACATCCACATCAATATTGCTTTTCAATTGCTTTTTGAATGATGTTAATGATGTTTTCGAGACCTGTTGTCTTCTGGCTTTCTCAGATGATTTAAAAGTGTTTACTTAACCTTAACAATAAAATCCATTAATAGATTTTAAATTATTACAGGACGTTGATAGATTTGCATAATGGCATAGAGCTAATAACTTGTTATTCCTTATGACATTTGTAAATTTTAAAGATGCAAATACTCACACACTACACAATCTTAGAATGGAAGTCCCGAGGGAAGTCCATACAAGGGTGATCTATGATAAATGTCACACCCTCCCTACTTTTTCATTTGAAGTTTTTGACAAAAGTGTCAAATACAAAAGTTTTGAGAAATTATCAGTTTTTTTTGACTGTCAGTTTCAAACATACAGGGTGGGTCAAAAATGTGTAGCAGTGGAAGAAACAATAATGCGACCCGTTATTTGACACTTCTGTCAGAAACGTCAAATTGAAAAGTTAGGAGAGGGTGACATTTATAATAGATCACCCTGTAACTACATCTGACCTGAAATAGTAAAAGTAAAAAAAAAACATTAGAACAAATTCAAATTTGAAACGATCTAATACTTCCATAAATATGAGGTGTGAATAGACTGATATTTCATAAATAAGTATTCCGGAACAAAAAATGTGCAGGACCAATGACATCTTAACGCAGATAGACACCACATCTCATCCATATACCAATGTTTATTGCTTGGTTTGTTGTGATGACAAGACCTGTATTCTCCTCTGAATCCTGTTATTCACTTGACCAAAATAATGATGAAATGCGCACAGGTGCAACTAGTTTATTTATCTGTCTGCCTCTAACTCATATGACTAAAGTTTGATGGGCGCGTTGACATGCCAATCGATTGCAGGTGTGTTCCGCCTGTCTTACAGAACCGGCGTTGCCAGTAGTCGTTTTTAGTCTTGAACCTCCAACTTTTTGAAGAAAAGTCATAACAGGATAAAATATCAATCCGTAACAATTTGGCAACCAAATTGGAGGGGATACACCAATGGTGGATTGCTCTCCTAGATGTTGGCGACACGAAATTTTTTTACTGTAATGTCTATCTGTGTTAATATGTCATTGCGCAGGACGATCCAATCCATAGAGGGAACAATAATAATAATAATAACATTTATTTCAAAATTGGTACAAACAGAGAATAACAATTGAAATTACGTCAATAGGCCAATAAAGGGCAAAAAAGATATAACTAATAATAATACATAATATAAACATTTATCTGTAGAATTGAGTAGGTATGCTTCCAGCATTACAACTACATAGGAAAAAAATCCTTATAATTCACATATTGCAGAAATCATCCAAGGTATATGGTATATGGCTCCTAGTTAATAAGCAATCTTTTGACTTCTCTTTTACAAGCAGATATACCTTTATTCTGTCTTACTTGTCATGGCATTGCATTGAATAATTTAACGCACTGGGGTAAGATTAAAATTATGCCCTGGTGTTATACTGAGAGTTATACCTTCCAGTTCTTAGCTGTTCAAATAAATTTGTATTTCTTTATAAAAACATGAGACATTCAAATATGTCCAAAGCATATGCAGTTAATATTCCCATCTGTCTGAAAGTATCTCTGCAAGACTAGTTATAGTACTTTTTTTTGTTGACCACTCTTTTTTGAGTAATAAAATTATAATAAAACAATCCTACGCTTATCAAGCATTTTGA